AACATAGTTAAGCAATCACCAATGATCAAAAGGATGTATGAAGACCCTGGCTGATGGCTGGGGTTTGAACCTGCGGACTTGGTTCTTGCAGGACCCTGAGGCTGTGCTTAATGAGTTTAGGGAAATCACTCTGCTGGACTTTATGATGGTGCTGCGGAGCAGAATCTGACATGACCACCAGCTGCCTCAGAACCCTCAGATACAGCTCTGTCCGCTCCACATCAAAGAGCTGTTATAAAATAAGAGCACATGTAAGAGCTGAAGGCCTCGATGCTAATTAGAGCGATGGTGACTTGCTCGACTTGCTGTTTACCTCCTGCAGCTCCCCACACAGCCGCCTCAAGATAAACTCCTGGATTGGATCTGCAAGTTTAAAAATGAGCTTCTCCATGGCAATGCTCACGCTATCTGTGAAAAGCAGAGTGACAAGAGGTGAATGTTACTCACTCCAGAGAGGCTCCTTAGAAATTAACAGAAAATCTCAGTCCAATTAAAGTGAGAGAAGAATCCCTGAATGTGGTTCTTTCTTCGGATAGACACCGTTTATTGGATCATGTTTTCAAAGTGGAGATAATTATGAAAATGTGGTGCTGAAGTGTAAATAGTATTTTGTTATTTGCGAAACATACTAAAGTTTAATTTAGAGATGCTGCACATTCAGGCAGCCAAAAATTATGACTTTATTATTTATTTTTTTACTTTATTATTAGGAGTTTTTTCTGTGGCCCTAACACTCTATCGTACACCTCGGCTTAACCTACTGCATATTTATGAGGGTGGACTTGACAAGTAAGGAAATAAATCAGTGTAATTGTTACAAACCTTGTTGTCCTTCGACACTCTGACAACTTGGTGTTTGTTCAAGCTGCAGCAGTCGCAGCACAAGCTGCAGGCTCTTGTCACTCTTGCGCAGAGGAAGGTAAATATTGGTGCTGACTCTGCTCAGGGTGTCCAGCAGAGGAGAGAGTAATGACTCCAGACTGTTACTGAGCTCTGTGCCTGGCTGACTCTTCTCCATGTCCACACACAGCAGAACGGCACTGGCCAACTTATCCGCCTCTTTAGAGTCAGGTAACGTCTCGCTCTGACCTGCGGAGCAAGACAACTGACTTTACTTGATGGTGAAAAGTGTAATCATCAGATCTAAACAAACGGGAGAATCCAGGAACATTTCATCATTCTCTAACATTGTGAGCTTACATTTTCACCTCTTCCAGTGAAAAATTCATGGATCTTGCTGTTAATCTGGCAAATTTAGGGAACTGATTTCTGAGTGTGTGCAATTTGGTGTGGCTTGATTAAATTGAAGGGACTGTTGGCAAGACCGCGAGGTGAGAGAGCACCTCAGTTGTTGGTGCGCTCGAGACGTCAAACATGATGCACCAGGGGGAAAACACAAAAAGGCAAACTCCTCTATTGGGAATGGAAAAGGCGATTAATCCACATTTAGAAAACCTGCATGTAACCGCTAACCTGATATAAAAGAGGTAAATGAGTGTGCACTAATTAGTTTCACTAGATTGAATTTAAGGACACTGGTGGAGGGATGCACTAAACTGAGTGCCATTCAATACTGCTTCCTTTTAGACTCACCTGTGCTGGCTGGAACTCGGAGATAGGCCTGCATCTCGCCTTCAACGTAGCTTCTGACAGTTTCTTTCTTTGAGGCAGCACCAGTGGAATCACCATCATCCACAATCCTGGGCTTGAAACTGCCCTCATTGTTCGACAGCCACGCGCACACCTGCAATGGTGTCACAGACAACAGGGTTGCAAAAGAGTCAACCGTAAAATATTCATGTGAAATTATAAGTTGAGTGTCTGATGCACTGTACCTGACTCCAGATCTGCGTCCCTCTACACAGTGACTCGTCTGCACAGAAATGCATCAGGAAACTAAAGAAATCATCTAAGCTCACTGCACTCTGGAAAAAAATTCAATATTAGAACTTCCTACATTTAGAGCTTCAGATGTATGAAAATAAAGAGCTTTGATCAAATTCAATTAAAACATTGAATTTTAAGGTTTTCTATATTTTACAAATACACTGTTTGTGTCTTACCACGTCTATGAGAGAGAGGGCGCTGTTCAGCAGGAAGCACTGGGCTGCTCCTCTTAATAAAACTTGATGTGTGATCATGGTGCAGCACAGCACCTCCCTGTAACAAACCAGAGACAAGATGAACACCTACATCCAGAGGAACCCGCTGGGAGCTAGTCTGACTGAGTGTAACTGTGATGATGGGGAACCTCAGAGCTGCGAGTCCGTCGATCCCCAGCAGGGGACTCGGAGGGAGCTTGGATAGAGCTTGGGAGAGGAAGAGGAGGGGTACCGAGCACCAGTGCTTGGAGCCCAGCTGCTGAATCAGCTGCAGCAACACACAACCTGTCAAAGAAAACACAACAGTCAGAGGAAGAAAGGGTTTTAGGCAATGAGAATTGAGTCAGAGCTTTCTCTGTGGCTTCTGTTTTCCTGTACCTCTGTTCTCTGGTGGGAGGCTACTGAAGAAGGTGGTCATGAAGACTTGGAGCTTAGTCCCCAGCTCAGGACAGTCTCCTACACTCTGCCCAACTGACCTGAATGCCGACAGACGGTGGATTTGATGAAGACTTAAAACACTTATAAAACACACCACTAACTGCATTGATTTAAAACCTCACCTGTGGAAGAGCGACGTTTCCGACAGAACATCCATCAAAGGCCCAACGATAAACTGAGAAGCAAAGCAAAAGAAGAGAAAAACGGTAATGAACAAATGTATCTCATTGAAAGTGCACGAATAAGCCTCAGTCACGCTGGATAAACAGGTTCTGGGCCTGTACCTGAGAAAAGGCCAAAGCGAAGGCCGGCTGTCGGAGGACCTGCAGCTCGAGCAGGTGACACACTCCCTCTCTCATCAAGGATTTATTCTCACTGTGGAACATCCGCTGGTAAACACACAGCAGCCAGGACGGGTGGAAGAGGCCTTGACCTGAAGCCACAGCACAGACAGAGGACTGACAAAGAGAACAGACACAAAACACCACGCTGGAACTTCATATTATCTTCAGCTGAATTATTATTTGAATCTTTATTGAAATAAAAAAAATGATTTCGTTTACTTGGGTTCTTTTAGCCATAAATGTATTTTGCTTGAATTGTTGAAGAGAGGTGAAGAGAATCATAAAGCTAAATGTAATTACATTTATTGCAAAACTCCACTTTTTATGACGGTGTGAATGTTGATGTTATACGTAATACAGCTCTAAGAATCAGTGGCCATTCTTCATTTCTGCTCCTTCAAAGCTTTTAATGACGGAATTGTGTCATCAGCAGCAACAGCAGCAACATTTATAAGATCTAAGAGTGGCCCAACAGTGTAATTTGACATTAAATGACCCCCAACTCTAATCTTACCTTGACTATCATTCACTGTTGTTTGGATCAATGTGTCTATTCTGTTCAGAACAGGCCGGACGACATGGACCTGCACAGGAAAAAGAGAGCAGCAGTATTACAAAAGTGGCACCACCATGTCCTCTATCTGTTTTGGTGATTCAACCGATCCTCTACCTGGTTCTCCTCCAGGGTCTCCATCACCAGAGCGTAGTCCTCCCAGAACTCCTTGAGCAGCCCGCTCATGCTGGGGGCCCATTTGAACAAGACCTCACCTGCAGCAATATGAAGAACAGTGAGAAAACACACCAGATAAGGGTAAATGAAAGTTGGTGTTGTATCAAATCATTTTACCTTCCGCTGACGGAGAGAGGGGGCAGTCCAGCTGCTGCTGCTCTGACAGGGCCACACACCTCTTCAGCAGGTACAAGGCCCTCTTGCGGGACACGCTGTCCCGGTGCGTCAGCCCGTCCTGAACCATCCTCCAGAACTGGACGCGCAGACGAGGGTCGGCCTCAGCGGAGGAGGAGTCCAGGCTGTGGGGGTCCAGCAGGTGGTCTGACACGGCCGTCACACACAGCAGGGCCCGCTCTGTGACCACTGGTGTGCGGTCACCGCGGTGCCAGCAGCTCAGGTCGTCCAGGATCCACTGGAGGACGCGCTTTGACCTCGCACCGCCGCAGCAGCTCAGCAGCGTCAGGAGCAGCCGGACCGTGACTCTGCAGAGCTGCGCGTCAGGGAGCGTTCTGACGCAGGACACGGCCGCGGACACGATGGCGAGTGTGAGCTGCTCATCCGCTGACAGAGCTAGTATGAGGGCAGTCATGACTTCACCGGACACCTCCACACTGAACCGCCCCGGCTCCTCCTCTGACCGCTGCAGACACGGCAACACGGACCGTGCCACCCGTCCCGGTACAGCCTCGTCACACAGCGGGACGCAGGCGCTCAGAAGCCGGCAGGCAGCGGCCGTGCTCTCCCTGCTGCCCCGCGCGGCTTCACCGGCTTCTTGTGCTGATATTCTGCCGAGGAGAGGCAGACACTGCGTCCAGATAACAGACTCTATTTTACCCCGAATGTGTCGTCTCTTCTCGGCTGTAAACGGAGACGAGTCCGAGTCCTCCAGGAGTGGACCGAGACCTGAGATGACAGCCGTCAGCGCCTCCACGCGATCCGGCCCCGGCCACGACTCGCTCGGCCAGGACAAGGAGTCGAAGAGGCGGTCATAGTCTGGAGAGCTGGAGAGAACCGCGTCTATCAACACTGAAGACATGACAGGGAGCTGCTACAGTCAGGACACAGCTACAGAGAACCGGCTTCACACACAGCGGCCATGGGCAACACGTTTTACTCAGGAATGTAAACTTCCGCCTACGTCACAACAAACTCTCGCGAGAGTTTGGGAATGATAGATCCGTAGACGATAGATGAGTGATTTATAGATAGAAACATAGATAGACAGATGGATGGACATATAGATGGGTGGGTGGATGGATAGATCGATGAAGGGATAGATCGATAGATGGATAGAGAGGCTGAGAGATAGATCACAAGAACAGACCAACCTGAAGACAAACTGCCTGTCACCATCACGGACACATAAATATCACAAACAAACCGGTTTTTATTTTGTGGCATTAAGAATTTATTTTCATTATGATAAAAAAAAGCAGTGCTTTAGATAAAAAAGTAATTGATCAGTATTGTGATTTAACTCTTGTCAGTTATTCATTCATTGTTGGCATCGAGGAAAAATATCTCTGTATTTAAGGGCTGACATTCTTTTCCAGTGAGCTCATATTGGCGGAAGACACCAGTTATTTTGCAATTATCGTCCACACAGTGATGTCAAAACAAAACTGACTGAACGGCTCTTTGTTCTGTGGCTTACATCACACAACAGATACTGCAGATTCATTACACACCGACAGCTTACAGAAATAGTGCTTTACAAATAATACTTTTCTGTAGTAATTATGAAAAGCGGGAGGAGAATAGGAAACGGGGGAAGCTTTGGATGAATGCACTACCAGCTGTAAAGAGCTTCAATTTTCCACACCAGCAGGTACATTGCTGTGGCCGACTAATAGGAAATGCATGACAGAGCACACTATACAAAAATAGAGTACGTTATAAAATATGGTTTAAAAAAATATAGGACAAAGGAAAACAGGAGCACATGATGAGACAATGAAAGGTTTAGGTGTTGAAATAAAAAAAAACAGAAGTTGCCTTGCTTAAAATTTCGAAACATTACACCCTCAACACTAACCTAAAACCTCCATAAGTTTTTGACAGTGTCAACTTTACAAGTTACAAGAAAACGGATTAAAATGCATTTGCTTTAAGAAGATGAAATATAATAAAATAGTGCAAGTAGTGTATGAACACAATATACAACATTAATAAATATACTCGGTTCACTGATTGAAATGTTGCTTGATTAGATCTGTTGTCTAATCCACAACTTTTCCAGAAGGAGTGAGGGTTCCCGTCATTTTCAGTAGTCTCTGGAAATTCAGGCACCCTTGTTTTTATCACCACCAAACAGAAAATACATATTTACACGTTGGCAACCTGTGGGTTTAGTTGCACCAGGAATGAAGGAAGAGAACGGGCGTTTTTTTATGGACGTCAGGTATTCAAAATATGAATTCGAGAAACTGTTCATCGCCTAACATGTCCAGAGAAAGGCTGTTGGTAGACCTGCGGCCATAGAACAAGGGTTTGGCTTGGCAGTGCAAAAGAGGGAAGTAAGTGTGGTCGACAGGGGTCTTTGGGTTTGGAGAGATATCAGGGAACCCGAAGGTGTAGCTGTGGGAGGAATCGGGCAGCAGTGTTGTCCCCAGAGGAGTTGGAGGTGGAAAGAGGCTGATGTCATCTAGACTGTGGCTGTGCCGATCTGCACACACATGTGTTTTAGATTTCAGCATCTTGAATAGAGATAAAACGTCAAGTTAAAACATAAGAAAATATGAGGTTGTCAAAAGGAAGTGAAGAGGAAAGGAGATATATACGACCAACCTGTTTTAACAGATCATCAATGTGCAATTTCCCAAGATTTTCATCAGAGTCTGGGGGAGACGCTTTGTTTTCTGTAGACACAAGAGTTTATAGGTCAGTTCTGACAAAGAACAAACAAAATTTGCGAGTTCAAACTTTTGTTTTCACTTTTGTGATAAGAATAAGTAAACTATTGTTTATATATTATCATGTTTATGAAAATCAGATGATTCACACCTGATGAGTGTGTGTCTGAGGGGACTTCTGCACAATCCACTGACACTCCGTCAAGAAGATCCGCCAACTGGAACATCTCATCAGGATCATCTACAAGAGCTTCCAATGGACTTCCAACATTGGTCTTCATTCCTAAAGAAAACAGTTTCAGAAATCAGATTTAAAAAAAAAAAAAAACATTAAAAAGCTCATCTGCCAAAATAATATTTAAATTTAAGAGGTCAGTGGACAGAAAATAATTTTGTACGTAATGTTTGGCACTGCGGGCTATTGAAGCTGATGAGTTGTCATAATGAGGAATAATGATGTTGTGAAACATTTTGTATAGCATGTAATCTGATCAATGTAAAATCCCAGATGTTTGGTGAGTGCTGCAAACACCTGCACAGATTACCATGACACGAAGCCAATGTTTCATATGGAGGGCTAATAATAACAGTAATAGTTCATTTACCACCATGCTTCTTTGAGACATACTGCTACCATCAAATCCCAACATATTTTATTCAACAAATCAACTATCAGTTAACTCCGCACAATATCTAAAAAGATGGATTCAATTTTTCATGTTTCAGAGTACAATCCTTCACCTTCTTCTTGTGACCCGTCGTCTTCTATTCGACTCTTACTGCTTGCGTCAAACCCGGAGGTGCAGGAGCTGCTGCGGCTCGCCGCTGAGCTGAAACACTGCTCTCCTTGCCGCTGACTCTCATCCTCCATGGAGGTCATCTCCGTGGAGATGCTATGTTGGCGGGCGTCAGCTTCGATCCCAGAGCTTGTGGTCGAGTGTCGAGACAGACCAGGGCTGCTCTCGCTGCCGGGGGGGTCCAGGTCCAGGTCATCGCTGATGTATGATTCTCTGTAACGCTTTTTCTCTGAAAGAATAAACAACACATGATCAAAATTTTGTTTTTCAACCTAAATGAATTATTAAACAACTGAAACACTGAACAGGAACCCTGGTGATTTTTGTGTGAGAAGTCATGTATTTAATTCACTGTTGCTACTTAAGTGTTCAATTGAGTACAAGAGGACTCCCCTCCAAACTGTAGTGATCACAGATACTACTCCTACCCCTGTATTTACTCCTCTCTTATTTACCTTCGCTCTCCTCAAGATGGCGTAGGTGTTTGAGGGCGGGCTGGAGGCTGAGGTAGAGTCGATGGCTGCTGCTCAGGTGCAGGAGGAGGTGGCGAGAGCGAAAGGACGACCCAGTGTAGTAAACCAGCTTCCGAGCTGATGGCAAGCCATCTGGCTGGATCTCGAATTTCTTACCCTGAATGGAACAAATATATTATACATAGTGCGCGGAGCTAATGCCCATTAAATAATTATAATGAATCCACCAAATCCTAACAGTGAATTGGAGACCAGCAGTGTGCATACCAGGAAGGTGAGACGTCCCACGTTTGACCAGGGGAAGTTGTACAGCAGCTGTCGGGTGTTGTTTACCTCCTGTGCATATAAAACACAGAAACACACACATACAGTATATAAGAAATATCTCTCATGCTTATGAGCCTGTGTTTGGAAAAAGGAACCTTAAAACATTTTTGTTACTGTGAAAAGAGTAAAAGATGCTTTTCAAAGGGCCTTAAGTTAAAGCTGACACATTTCTTTAATATTTTAGGCAAGATTACTTCTACTGTTTTTGCTTGTTAAAACTTTTAGCAGTTAAGAGTGATTTTCTCCCAGTCTGCCTCTAACATTGCCTTCTGTGAGATTTTTGAGTCGTGTCTTCTGACGTCAAACCACAGATTTTTACATATGCTTCGGATCAGGGGATTCCGAGGACCATGGCAAAATCTTCAGCTTCCAGCAGTGAAAATGTTTCTTGTGCCACTGGCTGAGATACAAGCCCAAAGCATGATCTGATTATCTATCTACCCCAATGCTCTGAATTCTTTTAGTGACATTGTCCATATATTGTTCTTCTAAACATACATGTGCCCATTGTGGCCAAAACATTTAACTTCAGTCACACAGGACCTGTTTCCAACATCAGACTATGCAGACTTCTGACACTGAAGTTTGTGGTGAGGATGCAGGAAATGTTATCTTCTTCTGAATCTTCCATGAAGTCCGTATTTGTGAAGGTGGGGCACCACCAATGCTAAATCTCCCTAAAGATATTTAGCAGTCAAATGAGGGTTCTGATTTCCCTCTCAAGCAATCCTACCAGAAGTTGCAGAGTGTTAGCTTTGTCTTTCAGTCAACAACTTGACCTCCACTGTTACTGTAAATGGCTCCATGAAAACACTTTGCTGTCTTCTTACAGCCGTCTCCTGCTTCGTGGGAATAGATAGTGAGGCTGCCACACATGGCTGCTGGGACAAGGTTTGAGTAGTATTTATAATGTTTTGAAATTTACATCAGTTGGCCTTTCCTAATGATAATGGTGAAGAAGCCATAAGCCAAAAGATCAGAGAGCTAAAATCTCTTGAAGTGCCTACACATATGCTGCTATTGTGTATCGAAAGTTGTACAAAACATTAATAATACACTAATCTTTGCTTAAAATATAAAAAAGAATGTTTCATCATTAACAGTGTGCGTTTGGGAGATCAGGTCATGTTCTACTCACAGTAACAGATATTTTGGACAAGTGTGCCAAAACATTTTCATCCAAGTGTAATTTAAAATTATTGATCAACAATCAACCGTCCTTCTGTTCAAAGGATCCATCTGGTCTTGGCAATGAGGCTAAGGGCTTCTCAAGGTACCTCACGGTCTGTTGGCTCTTTAATCAGCCAGGCCTCGAGTCCTAATCCACCCCAGATGGCCCCTGATGGACAGATCAAACAACGGAGCGCATGGGAGATGACTCCTATCTCCTCATGCACTGCCGTTGGTGGCAATCCCACACATTCCTCACACGTCTAGTCAGAGGTTTTACAGGACTATAAATACAAAGGTCGAATGTTTGAGCGAACGCAGATTCACTCTTGTGAATGTAAGTGTTGACATGCCTACTATGCATTAATAACGCACTCACACATGCACGTACCTGATAAACCTGCATTCCTCGTAGGGTCAGACCGAGCAACGCTGTTCCTCTCTCCTCCTTTTTGTCCTGGACAAATGAATGATGAGATGTCAGAGAGGCATCTGAGCGGCTCAGATAAGACAGCTATTTCACAGTTAAGCCTCCCTCCCTCCGTCCTCCCGGTTCACTAGGAAACACATGAAGCCACTGCTAACAAATTCTTGAGCGTCAACACATTACGCAATGGTTGGGCCAACCCTCAAAATATCTCAGTAGATGAGCGAGTTTGAAATGGGGAGGATAATAAACTGAAATAGTTGGAGGGTTACGTAACTATCCCATTGTTATTTGTGCAGCGTAGCTCAAATGAAGCCAAACTAACTGTGTTTGTAAAAAGAGAGTATTGCTGTCAGAGAAGAAATATTCCTGGAATAGCTTTAGATTAAAAATGAGATGAAAACACATTCCATTGCCCACCAGGCTCAATAACCATTATTTGTTATTTTAATTATATAAATCAACTGTATAAATAAATCTAATTTTCATGACACTGAAATACTAAATTGGCTCACAACCTTTTGCAGTCTGTAAAATGTGACAGGTACGTCCTCCAGTCGACACGACTCCCGGATGAAGAGCAGGATGGCGTCACGGGCAGACACACCCCACAGCTCCTGGTGAACTTTGGGCCCATGACAGAGGAGGTAGTTCACCCCACGCTTAGCTACAATCTACAGACAGAAGTGGAGAGACATGTAATCCACAGATGCCCTAAACTTTTTTAATATTTAAATCTTTTGGAGACAAATGTATGAACATTTTAAACTGAACATCTCATTAGATTCAAAGTGTTTTCAAATTCTGATGCTCCATCGTGACACCTACCCACGGGGGAAAGTAATCCTTGGGTTCAAAGTACGGGGTGATCTCTCCATACTCCTTGGGCAGCGGGTGGTCGCCGAGGTCAGCCTGCAAGGCGTAACCTGCCAGCTGGAAGTAAACCTCCTCTTGCTGACGAAATTCAGAGCGAAGCACACGCTCGCGCAAGTCGGAGTAGTATAGATGTCGTGCCTTTCGTTCACTGGTACCGCACATTGAAAAAAAAAAAAAGGTAGAAGAAGGTATGGAAAAATGATGTCAGAAAGGAGGACGGAGATGGATGAAGTATAAACACCAAGTTCACAAGCGACTAAATTAAAAGAGAGCCTGTCCAGTGGTGAGGAAGAAGTTATATAGTACAAATATAGAGGTACATACCAAATGAGTCTACCATTCTCCACGTAGTACTGCACTTTGAGGAAGAGTACGAGAGGCAAAGGTCTCTTCTGAAGTGCCTGTTTGTAGAAAGACGTGTCAGAGTTGGCCTGCGTGTTAACATCTATTTGTCATGCTAAACGGCATCATGCATGTAGGCCACTGACTGCGCCTCCCGCTTAACGAGCAGGTCTCAACAAAATGCTTCAGATTCACACGATAACACAACAGGCCCTCTTACCTTTCCTGAATCTTGCCTCCATTCCTTGGGAAAGTACTTGATCAGTTTCTCCTCCATATCTATAAATATGTGCTCATTGTCTGCAATGAAGAAAAGGAGACAGGCAACCAACAGACAGTGAGCAAGCAAACAAAACAATAATGTAGCCAAGCGGAAAATGTGCCCTACAATGGGAGTCATTAGGGTAAAAGAAAAAAGCCCTTGTTCTTCTGTTTGTGAACGAGGCTACAAGGAAGCTAATGACAACAAAGCTAAAGTTAATGATCACAGTTCAAATCTTAATATTTTATCATGTGATCCCCAGAATATAACAAAGGCTGATGCTGTTTGATAAAAGAAACAAAGAGCAGTTTGCAGCTTGTGTTCAGATTCAGAATGAGAATGTTCCCAGCCAATGAGTCATAACAGGGGCATTTTCAGTTCGTTTCACCGTTTCTGTTTTGTTCGGCTTAGTTCTCGCCGAGCTGTTTCACAACCCGTTTCTACAAATCATCCATCTCTCTATTCAGCTCGTCTCAGCCCCACTCTGACTCACGCCTTCTCCTTCACCTCTCATCCCTCATTCAGGCCATTGAGTAAGAGTTTGAGTAAGAGGAGGCCTCTGTCATGTCTCTTCCCCTCACCCTCTTCCCATCATCAATCCATCCCTCCCCTCAGTGAAGAGGAGGAATGCAAGGGTGCATTCCAGGCTTAATGAAGTTAATATTGCAGGAATCCAGGCCTAAGTGATCGCTGAAACAACACCACAAAAACAAAAGGCTGCTTGTTCAAGCGGTGAGCCACATAAGATTACCAAGGCATTTTGATGTATTTGTAAGGGGAAGGAGAACAGGGACACAATGAAACAGAAAGTAAGTGGATTACACCGTTTAATTATGCAGACTGGGGAGGCAGACGTATATTTTTGGGGTTTTGGTGAAAGTCCGTTGACATTTTCACAAGAGTCACTGCAGAGCACGGCTGTAAGTTGTTGTCATAATCCAAACATGATGCTCTTGTTTACAACTTGACTGAGTTTTGGCTAAAAAATGGTCACTGCATGAACTGATCAACAAAATTTCCCATTGTATGCAGGGAGTCTACAGCTATAAACAAGGACTTCCAGGCGCTGGCTTTAACCACCACAAGTACTTGTCAATCTCAAGCCACTTATCATCGAAACTGCATTTCCTCATGTTCATAAATTAGCTAGCATATTTAACCAGACGAAACAGACCACTCTGACCATCCAATCTGATTTAAAGACAATCCAATACCTTCTAAGGCGAGGGGGTAAATGAGGAGTGAACTTACCCTTCACCACTGTGAGGCCAAAGAAGTACAGCTCTTTGACTCCGAGAAGCTCTGTCACACGACTGAAAACATCATGCCCTGTGGACTTTGGCTGGAGCAGGAGAAAAGACGAAAAGAGGTAAAAACCACTATGTATTCACCAAAAAACTATGTGGTGCAGCCAAAACACTGAAGTGATAAACAGAACTTTGACTCTTGGGGTCAGGAGAACAGCTAGAGACATATTAAAACACTCACCCTGACAGTGATGTCCAGCTGTTCTTTGTTGGGGAGGAGAACACAAATGGTTCTCTCCTGCTTTATGGAGGCAGACATGATGTCTTCTGTATGTCTGCGATAAGTGCTCTTGCTATTTCACTGCTTCGATCTGTTCTCTATCCTTCTCTTTTTATCTGTTCCAAGGCAGCTTGTCCGTATTGTATCTGAAAAAATAGATGACATCAGAGTGAGATAAGTAAAGTAATAAAAAACCATGATTCAATTAAAGAGAATGAGGAAGACAGCAGAATGGAATTCAAAACAGATGATCAGCTCATGTGTCAAATCTGATACCAACTGAAGAGAACTCAACAAATTAGAACATCTCAAAGCATCCTCTAAGCAATATCTAGTTACTAGATATTGTATTAACATATTGTCACAGCAAAAACAATCCTATACCGAGACATAAGTACAGAGATACGTCCCATTAGCTCACAACCAAGATTAACTCAACACGGATCGTCCCTGCAGAGGGGTTAGAGGCCAAGTGTCTGCTGTCACGATTATCCTCCAGAGGGATCATCCAAAACAAGAAAAAATAACTAACTAACCAAAATACACAAATCCAAATAGAACACCATGTCCCAGATCATTAGCATAAACTACAACAGTGTATAAATCAAAAACAATGAAATAGTTGAATGAATTTATCATAATCCTAACAATAGCCAATAACTTAATCCATCAGATGATCCTCGGGCACTAATTCACCTATTCTAACAAGATCCATCACAACACAGAAGAATAAAAGGGGAACAGAGTTAAAACACATTCATACTGGTAAACATACTCCAACAAATGGCCATGATGGAGGGGGGCAAGGACCAAGGCTCACCTCAAACTTGCCCCACTGTGCTGACCTGAGGTCCCAACTGGTGCGAGGCTCATCTGATTAACGTCTCAGAATCAATTAATCAGGTTAATTACTGCTGTGTGCCGACTCTAAATCCCTTAAATCCCGCCGGGATGATAACCAGAGGGAAAAAAGAAAGAAAGAAAAGAATACAAGGGACAAAATAAAGAAACAGGCTGTTCATGTATCAGTCTCCTCAAAAAGTAAAAAACAGTTTTTAATTTAGATAAGAAAGCAGGTTAAATGGTCCTTGGACAAACACACTTTCTGCTGTTTAGTCTTTTTAATTCTTGGGGAGAGGGGTATTCTCATTGGGGGAAAAAGACATTGACATATGTTTAAAAGCACCAGATAATCTCACTGTTATTATATGTATATATATGAGAATATAAAACCCTGTTTACCAGTGTACAAAACATTATGTGAACTATAAAAGTGAACGTTCTTGACTAAGAGGCCAAAACATTTGACATACCAAAATGATTTATGGACATGTTCAAACACAGCCTCACTTACATTTAGGTGTCAGCGCAAACGGAAAAAAAAAACCTGATATACCAGTGGCTGGAACACCTGATTTGTTTGTGATTCACTTGTACGTTTACTCTGACACTGATGTAAATGGTGTAAAAATTCACGTGTTCTTAACGCTCATGACATTTAAACAATTTCTAATATACTCTTTTAACTCATAATCTACTTTTTAAGGAGTTGGAGTTCTTCTTCAATATAATTCAAACCCATAATGAGAGAGCTGTCGCTTTAAACTCTGGTAAACTAAGACTACAACATGAGTTGTACTGCTAAGATAATACAATACTGCTGCATTTACAAATTATACACTCACTGAAACATCACCATAGAATGTGTGCAAATTGTAACACACTATATGAGAAGAATTGTTTTTATAGACATTTGTGAGCGATTCATGAGAAAGTCATGCATGAGGCAATAACCAAGAATAATAGAGACGATTGTTCAGGCAATAAAAAATGCCTTAACAATATAAAAGTGGTTTTAGTCTTCAGGGTGTGTTCTTTGTTTTTTGTTGCTATTTGTTTTAACACGCACATCTGAACTTTTTATACTTAAATGTAATTTACTTAAGAGCTCAGTTTGGATAAACTCCCGTCAACAATTGATACAGTGAGTTATGACATTCAAATTCAAACTAGAAGATGTTAAAATATGTTTTACTTAAAAGTATTAAACAGTGATGTACTCAATGAAAATGCACCTGACAATCAAACATTAAAAGTACTGAGCTACTGATAAAACCAGTGAATCCAAACCAACCTTACTCAAAGCAGAGCACAAACATCTTCATGAACCACGGTGGTCGTTTACTGAGTCCCACCTGCAACACACAGAGCCGGCTGACGTCTGCAGACATCCCCCTTGATGCTGACCAGGGGCAAACCTGGCATCACATGAGAGCAGCCATCTGTATCCCATAATTCCCCTGCAAGACTGTTATAATCCCTGCTTCTGAGCACACTGCTGGGAAAACAAGAGGAAAACAACCCCCCCATCTCTCTGCACCGTGCAAACTCGGTGAAGAGCCAGGGATCCTCACTGCTCAACTTTAACCCACGAGGGAGAGAGATAAGAGCGAAGCACATACACTCATCCCACTTGAAAACAATAGTCAGTTCTGGGGGTGCAGAGCATTTCTCCAGGTCTCAGAGCACTGGTGGGAAGTTACATGAGGGTTCAATGGTTCCTGTGAGGCGACAATAAAATCACTTCTCACTAATGAAGCACTGAAGCACAGAAGACTGGAATTAAACCTAAATGTGAAATGCTCCTTAACTTCTACCTCGATTTATACGTCAACGCCATTTAACAAGCTAGTGGCCGCAGCTTCTGTCACTTTCTGTGCAGTAAGTTCATGACGCTCATTTAAGAGAGAAACAATAGAAACAGTTCAATACATGTCTCGTTGCTTCTTACCCTCAGTCCTGGAGACGTTAAAAACTTTACGGGCAAAGCTTGCGTGTGTTCGTCTGATGTGACCCTGACGCAACAAGTGCATCACCAACTGAGCTCGTGTTGCGCTGTGAGGCCGGAGGTTACTCACCACCATCTTTCAGGAGGTGAAGATGTCCCCCGCTTCTTCTTAAAGCTCGTTCAGACACACAGAGTAGTTGTGTTATTCACCATGACACCAGTGAGGTCGACCGCAGCTTCTCCCTCCTCTTCCTCTCCATCGCTTATTAAAACTTCTGAAACCACCGTGAAGAGCTGACGAGTGGGTCAGACCATGTCCCTTAAATATAGGGGTGCTCTTTTGAACTCCGGCTAAAACTCCTCGTAGCGCTTCCACGCTCTGGAAAGTGGTTGTTTGACTTGTTGTCATGTTGATACTTTTCTCATGTTGTCATGTGGATGAATACTTTATCACAATCGACGGAGGAGTATACAAATAATAATATTGCGATATAATACAATGGCTCATAGATGAACCCCCTGATATTTGCGTTGGTAGAGCGATCTTGTGCTCAAAAAATGGGGATGGGCCGAGAGCAGAGAGTGTACGAGCCAATCAGGCGGGATGTGGGCGTGTCTGCGTCCCAGATGATAATGATATTAATAGTAATATCATATTTAATATTTTATGTCTGGAGCGCTTATCTGAAAAAGGTCGCAAAGTGTTTCACAAAATGCATGTGAGGAAAAGACAAAACAAAAATAAGAAACAAATATCAAAAATCAACATCATCTGTTAATTAAAGTGAAATCAGGCAATAGAAGGTTTTCCTAAATAAATGTGTTTTAAATGATGATTTAAGTGTTATCTGAGACTCAGGGCCCTGGATACAAAAGTCTGGTTACCCTTGGTTACCCGCCTTGACCTAGGAACAAGTACTTTAAGAGGTGGTTGGGAGATCTTGGACATATTTTGGTACCATTTAAGGAAGATGGCTATCGATACATACCTTGTTCACACATTGCATTATTATAGTTTGTTGCCCGTGGAGAAGGGACAAATTCAGATCAGATTTCATTGAATGTTTCAAATGTATTTAATTCCAGGTGAGTTCAGTCGTCTTAATGACAAATGTGAATGGAACCGATCAAAGGTCATCATGAATTCAATGAATACATCTCTGAAAAACTCAAACATCAACAACCCTTCCCCCATATCGCTGAAGATGCTAAAAAAATAAATACAATTTTTGCTAAGCACACTTCACTGGGAGGCTAATGTTTGGTGTATCAAAAATGAGGGGCAGGGAAACGTTTTTGAATCTCAGGTAGTAAAGATGCAGGGTGAGGGGTATTTCCCACAGCAGGGGGTCTTCAGGCTCCATTGATTCCTCCTGTGGTTCTTTTGCTGAAAGAGACATAGGTCGATTCACACATGGTTACCTCCACCAAGGAGGTTACGTTTTCACCCCCGGTCATCCGTTAGTTTGTTTGACAGCAGGTTTATGCAAAAACAAATACATAGCTACTGAACAGTTTTGCTTAAAACTTGGTGGAAGGATGGGACACAGGCCCAGAAAGAACCCAATACATTCTGGCAGGGATCTGGACAAAGGAGCAAATCCAGGGATATTTTTCTGTTTCAAGGGTTCTAGCAGTGCCACCTGCAGGGCAATTTGATCAACTGCAAAAAAAAACTAAAAACGACAAATTTAACACAAAACTAGACTAAAATAATCTTTAAATTTATTGTGGTATTTACAATGCTCAAGAAAAAGAAAATCTATATAAACTGCAGGCAGTCCACCTTCAATAATATTTGTCCCTCTTAGATCAGGAGAGACATAACTCTTAATATCCTGAATTGACTCTGGAAAGAAAGATCATATAACCAACTCAAGAATATGCATATTTAATGGTAGAGTATGATAATATATAAACAACTGTCCAAGAAACAATTTTTTAGATTTCCAAGCAACACTTTCCAGTTTAACACGTATAATCACAATACCAACCAAATACTTTCAATAAAACAAGTTCATATTACTAACCTGTGCTTCTGCTGAATTTTGCTTAAAACCTCTTTAGTAAAATGTTATGTTGTAGCAAAGCTTTATTCTCCCAACACCAGGTTGGGTTCATGTGCAGAATGCTGCAATGACAAGGAACAGCATAAAATATTAAGACCAAACCCAAAGCTGCAGAGTCAGAGCAACAATTCTATTTCAAATGCAATCTTTGCCTTAAAAATGATAAATTGTGAAAATTGTTGATAAAAAAGTAACTTGTACAAATGACCATTTCAGTACAAAAGCTTTTAAAATGTAGTTGTGGTGCAAATCAATGCAGTCTCTCTTAAAATTGGTGGAAAAGATGTGGTGCAATGGTGAGGACAGTATTTGCAGACTTGATATGGGCCAGCTCACCAAAACAGCCAATTCATTTTTGTAGCAGCTACATTTCCAGTTCAGCATCTAAAATTAATGTAATAACTTGGATAAGAATTATTAAAAATAAAAAATATAACATAAATAACACAGAAAGTATAGCATATGATGAGGGACGTAATTTCCCAAACACAAAAAACAAACAATGTTTAAAAAAAACAACAGTAGAAAAATAAAAATCCACTGTGATTCCACTATAAACATGAAATTAGTCAAATTGTGATTTTGCTTTCATGTCTTTGAAAAGTAATTGTATGTTTTTTAAAAACCAAGAGATACTCCAGATACCATGAACAGAATAAGATTTAGATGCAGTGAGGTATTAGCTGCACATTCCTCTCCTCCAGCCGTGTTTGATTCTGCCGCAGTTCTACTGAAAGAACTTGAGGCCCGCAACGAGGAAGAACTTCTCCAGGAAGATCTCTGAATCAAGGACGGCAATATGGGCGGCCCGACCAATAAGGGAGTTGGCCGTGTTGGGCAGGGCGTGAATAACATCATACCGCACTAGATTACAGTCCTTGCTCTGAAGCACTGGCAGCAGCAGGTTCTCTATCATCTCAGCGTACACAGGACCTGGTGCAGACGAGAGAAAGAGGCAGAACAGGGTAATGTTGACATCATTTCATTGTCTTTGATCAATTCAAGCTCCAAGGTGTAGAGCTGAATAACGATATGAGATTTAATATAAAGACAGAATTAGGTCACACCTTCTGGTAAAATCCGGAGAATTGGTCACGGACTATACCTGCAGATTGCCTTTCACACATGCACAACACATTTCTTCCTGACAAACTGTTACAGTGTGTTACACACAGGATCTTTCTTCAACTCACCTGTCTGTTTGTCCTTTAATGCCGTTTTGCACATTTCAATTCGAGCAGAATGGTACGGGACATAGCGATCCTGCAGTGAACCCACCAGCACTACATTCTTGAAAAATTGCAGACCTGAAACAGCAGATCAACAGAAACATTATCTCTACAATCGCATATTCCACGTAAACAGCTTCTTAAACAGTCTTTGGTTAAAAAAAGAGAAAGGAAACTGCGAAGCTAACCAGATTTTTTGCTGAGTTTGTAAAGGAACGTTTGGCGAGGATCAGAGTGATCACGGCACGTCAGCTGAAGGAGTGACCCCGACTTTTTCCACTTCTGCATGAACCAGAGGCCTAAAAACATAAAAACAAAGTTTAGCCGTTAGTCTAAAATGATCTATCACTGGGACAGAAGACAGAGAATACAACCATAGACAGTATCACTATGACACCTACCCGTGTTGACCAGAGCAGAGCTGTTGTACAGTGTGCCCAGGTGAGGTCCAGACAGTGAGAGGAAAGTGTGCAGCCTGCTCAGGTAACATTTAAACCTGGGTCTGCTCAGCACTGAGCGAACAATGAGGTTCCCCAAGGAATGACCCACGAAGCTGCAAATGAAGAAAGCAATGGCTAAAGTGGGATTCATACTCTTTAATTTACATGTCTTATATGTCTAGCTGGAAGAGTGACTGACTTCAAAAACTTTGGTAGAACAGAACATCTTACCTTATCTTTGACACAGTGAGATTGTATATCTGAATATATTGGACTATTTCATCCAGGAGTCGGTCTGTCATTGACTCAAAGTCAGCAAAGGTGTCATTCTGTAAATAAGGAGTTTCAAAAAAGGACAAAACAATGTCAGGACAGTTGTGTTAACTTAACTGAAAAAGGCTTGAGAGACTGTATTTACTAATGATCATAGTTTGGACAAAAAGATGGACGACGAATCTCCAATTCCTCCCACAATCCAGAGTGTCTGTGCAATAGTGATTGGGGGAGTCTGGTATCGAGGTCCCACTGACCCAAGCATTAAATAACTAAATAAAGAATGAACACTTGAACATCATCAGTGTGATAAGAACTACTGTAAATGACCGAAAACATCAAATTTATTTGACGTGCACTTTGACTTTTTAGTTCGTTCCAATTCCCATCCACTTACACAAAGGAGGCGGGGTTTACAACCTATACTGCAGCCAGCCACCAGGGTGCAATTGAGATGCTTTACCTTCACTTTTGGGGGCTGTCATGTCGTCCATCTTTATACATACTGTATGAACAATTTTTACCCATTTCAATTCATCAACAATCACATTTTTCCTCATACTCTTCAATGTTTAAGGTGTTTAACAGTGATGTCAGACAGCGGCAGTGTCTGTGCTTTTATCCACTCACCTGGTTCCTCTCAGACATTAGGAAGTCTATACGAGCACCAGGCAGGCCAAGCTCCAGGTAAGTCTTCACCAGTCTAAGGTCTGCACTGTTACCTGGAGCAACAAATCAAACATAAAGTACATCAATGTCATTTCTAAATACAAAAATGATGAGTTTATAGATATTAACTTAACTTCCTACCGTCCAATCCGTGGACACAGACTATAAGATGGATGCCTTCCTCACAGCTCTCATCTTCCTCCAAGCTGAAATATGGAACAGTGGATGCCAGCTCAAGCACCTCACTGTACAAGACACCAGGTAGCCTGAGCTGCTTCATTTCTTCTTTGGACTTGATGAACCTGCAGTTATAATTAAATACGGAGACAGATATTCATTTAAAATGTCCAAAATAGGACAATTATCTGCGTTAAGTGTAATATATAGTGGGATCATGACTCACGCTTTCATCTGTGTGGGTGCACATTCATACCACTGCAGGCTGGAGGAAAGGGAGCTGGAGGGAAAGCGAGGTCTTCCCAAGCTATGCATAACGCTGCTGGAGGCTAGGTTAGAGCAGATGGGAGCTTTTGATGAATCCTTTGTTTCATGCAGGTAGCCGATGCCAAGCTGCTCAAACAGAAGACTAGTTTCTTGAGTGGCTGGATCCCCAACCCCAGTTTGC